CGTACACAGCTCAATTACAGACAGCACTAAATGATCTGTACTACAAAGTAACCTGCATTAGAAGGAGAGGACACCTGGAGAGATATATAGTCAGGTTTGTCTACCTGTTTGTTTCTAGTTTTTTTTTTTTTTGTCTGCTACCTGTTTGTATATTAAAAGTAGCTCACTTATTGCTGTTAGGGGCTAAACTGTAATACATTGATAAGGAAGTCTTTTTGTCATGACAGTGACAATGACAAGAACTGGGGCAGTGATTGGCTGAAGGCACTCAGCTCATGCTCACAGCCAATCAATTAGTCCTATCCGTGTTACGGTAGCAAGCAGCATTGGAGGCAAAGCTTTAGGCTGTCAGGGCCTAAGAATCGCTACTGTGAGTAAACCATTTAGTAATGATGCAAGACCCAGCACCCATAGATCCTAGGAAGCTTAACTACTTTACACCAATGAACTGGTTATGGTGCCTAGTGTTCCTTTAAATCCATATTCTTTTCTTCCACCACAGTTAAATAAGCATTATAAGGTCAGGAACACAAACATATTTCTGACCCTATAGTGTTAAAACCACCATCTAGCCCCCCTGGTCCCCTCTTGCCTACCTAAATACAGTAAGATCTTACTTGTATTCAAGTCTGCAGCTTCTAGCTCGGCCCCTGTTTGCCTGTGAACTGCTTCTGTCTGCTGACATCAGAAGTGGTGGTCTGAGCCAATCGCAATGCTTCCCCACAGGATTAGCGGAGACTGTTAATGAGGCAGATCATGGGCAAAGCCACACGATTCAAACACAGCCATGGTCAATCAGCATATCCTCATAGAGATTAATTGAATCAATGCATCTATATGAGGAAAGTTCAGTGTCTGCATGCAGAGGGTGGAGACACTGAATGGCAGTGCTGCACAATAGGCAGGACTGCCCCAGGAAGCATCTCTAGCAGCCATCTAAGGAATGGCCAGTGGAGTTATCACTAGGCTGTAATGTAAACACTGCATTTTCCCTGAAAATACTGTGTTTACAGCAAAAAGCCTGAATGGAATGATTCTACTCGCCAAACAAATGCAATAAGCTGTAGTTGTTCTGATGACTATAGTGTCCCTTTAATCTGATTAACTTGATCAGATGTTAGACACTCTCAGAGTTATTTACTAAAGTGAGAATTCAAAGTAAATTTAAGATCAAAATAACTTAAATAGAAAAATTCTTGTAGTCCACATTGCTTTCATTTAGACTTCTCTAGTCTTAAATTTGAAATTCGCTTTGAAAAACCCTGTTGAAGGTTTTTCACCAAATCAATACATTTCAGAAAAATGCAAACTAACACCATATTCATCTATGAGGGAGCCTCTCAGAGGAGGTTTGGGCATGTAAAGCATGCATCTGCTCTGCAGCTATTTGCCATTGAATTCTAGCTCCCCTTTGATATATGTCTGCTATTGGGTTTGCTTGGCTTTGCTTATAGCTGCCGTGATTCTTTTTGCCAGGATAGATCTATGAATCCAGAACAGGTCATGATGACCGGCGTGCCCCTTTATGTGTTCTGAAGAGCCCACATTCCTGAAGAATACTGAATGTTTAAAGCTTTAAATTGTATACGGAGAGATAAAACAGATTGTGAGCCTTTAAATATACAAAGCCAAAGAGCGAAGGACATTTAGAAACACGGACAGCACACATAAGATTGGCACTTATCAAGCTGGTGAGGCTGTTTTCACTAGGAGAGCTGGTGGCTGCTGGCAGAGAGGCATAATGTTTTACAAGCTCAGCCCAGCAAGATCACTGGTATAGCAGAAGGTACCTCAGATGGTTTTGATAATTTTGATCAGCTGAAGTAGAGAAAGCATAATTTCGTTTAGAAGCCTTTAAAACCTGTCAAACAAAAGCATGACTAAACATGTCACTCATTTGCAGTGTCCTCTGTTCCCTTCGTGACAGTGCCTAGCTTTATGGCCAAATAATTTAACCAGAATATTCATGACAGCCTCAAAATGAATTATCCTGAACAATAAAAAATAAAATAAATGCACATTTGTAAATGTGAATGATTACATGAAATGCAGGTTACGATGCATTTTATTAGACATATGCAGCTCTGTAATATGGGCTTTGGTTTAATAGACGTAAAACCAACTTCGTTAATGGAGTGAACACAAATTAAATCTAGGACTTGGCTAAAATCTTGTTTCAATTGGCTATTACTCTTTAAGAGCCCAGTAAGATAGCTAATTAGAAAACAGCTCTAGCAATAATGCTAAACAGAATTAGTAAGAGCAAATGACAGTCTGTCTACTCCTATTCCCAAAGAGAACGAGGCTCTTAACAAGTCAACGAAACGCTTTGTAAAACAAATCTAAAACAATTTTATTGGGGCTTCAGTTTGCTGGGTCAATTCAAAGTGAACTCAGCCATGCTGCAACTTCTATCACACGGACTAGCCTTTTTTTTTTTAAATGGTTACTGCTTTCTTTAACAGGATGAAAACTGAAATACAAAAGTGCTGAATATGGCTTTGTCCAATGGGATAAATAAAGTTGCAGAAGTGTAAAGTCATTTACTGGATGTACATCTGCCTTTGGGTGGTTCCGAATTACACAGCCTATTCTCTTCATTATCGATACCCTCATTAAGCCATCAGCTGAAAAGCAGACTAGTTCCCTTGTGAAGATTTATCATGTACAGTGGCCACTTTGAAACGCAGGTAGTAGAATCTTTAACATTCCCTAGTCAAGTATCTCCCCGCTGTGCCTGTAAATGTCAGTCCAGTTTTTTCACGGCTGTGCGCACTGATTAGAAACAGCAGGAGAGCTTGGGAGTATGACTACAATACCAGTAAGGACACTTGTCTTTGTGGCACCACTCAAGTGATTCTTAGAATGCAGGACCCTGCTGTTTTCTAATATTTACACACAACTGGAGTCATCAAGAGCTGTAAAAGCATTCTAAAGGCTGCTTGCTTCTTTTGTGTTAAGGACCTACATAGAAATAGAAAGGAATCGTAAAAATTCCCTTACACGCGTGAGCACTGAGGATGTATTGTATTCTAGATATATGAGGATACAAGAGTTTTCAATTTACTCATGTCAAAATCCATAAATAAGAGGGTAGTATTTGCTACGTAAGGTGGGACATCCACACTCGGCATTGTCATGCCAAGGAAGTGAACTAATCTTGTCACTGATTTGTGGAATGTGGAAAAGATTTTGGAAGAGTTAGGCCAAGATCTGCTCACATGCTTCATTCCCCATTAACTCCTTCACTACCAAAACACACACAGGTATGAGCTGGCTACTCCTCATCCCCCAAGCCATGTATACACTGAGTTGGCTTCATTTTAAAGGGTAAGTGAAAAGAGAATTAAACCAAAGTTACCTTTACCACTGGACTAGTGCAGCTCGTGAACCCAAACAAAAATATACTCTGGTGACTCTCCTATCTCTGCAACAGACCTTGATGGCGTTTTTTTCATCTCCAGCTGGCAGCTTGGGATTCTGCATTCCCAAAAGTACCAGTAAATTAATTTCCGTTTAAGTATATAATCACATTCTGTGGTTTAAATCTGATTGTTTCCTATCTATTGTAATCAAGCAATATGACATCTCTGAAAAAATACTAATCTGTAATCGGATTTTTATTTTTGTATCAAAAAGTTTTTTTTTTTCTAATTGATATGATAGTCATACATTCTATAATTAACGGCAAAGGGCGTGCTATTCTGCCCTAAAAGGAAGGCTGACTAACAGAGGCAGTGCCCCTGCAGCAAATCCCACCCATCCGTGTAATGTGATCACGATAATGCCACAATCATATGACTTTGAGCAGCTTGATCATCAGATTAATTTCCTGGGTTGTCAGGCAAATATGCCAACATATAATTAATAAAAAATAATGTCATACATAAAAAAAAATATATAATCTGTTTGGAATACATATGTATATATATTGACCCGTTTGACAACCCAGGCAGAAATTCTAGAGAAGTCCTATATTTGACCCTGTAACTTTCCAAAACCCCATAAAACCTGTACATGGGAAGGAGAGTGTACTGTTGTACTCGTGAGACATCACTGATCACAAATATAGGTGTTTAAGAGCAGCAAAATGTGGTGTTAATAACATCCGTGAAAAGGCAGTTTCTGTGTGTAAAAATGCAAAAGAAAAAGGATGAATACTAACTTTGTATATATCCCATTTTGGTGGTAATTCTCATTTTTGGGCTGTGGTCTCAAATGCAACACAGGCACAGCAAACCAACCTGGCAAATTTATATGTATAACAACTGAAATGGGAAATCTCTTGACCCTATAACTTTCCAAAACATCATGAAATCTCTACATTCATATGTAAATATTTGAGGTGAAATGAAAGCCATATGCCTCCTTAGCAGAATGATATACAAGTAGTTTGGGTGCACTTAATATGAAAGATTAATTATGGTTGAACAGACATATAGCTCAAAATTATAGGTTATGGTCAGTACTATTGCCTCAGTACTTAAGGAGTTAAAATAAATGTTACACTACATTCCGTAAGCATGTAAACTTGAATCAAATGATTTGGGATGGTTTTTGGGGAGGGGTGGAGGGCAAAATGCTTAGACAAAAGAGGCCAATATATGGTCACAGGTTGTTCTAGAGTAGGACTAAGACAACAAACCATACACTTTTTTTTTTTAGAACAGCCATATCTCAGGTCAGTTCTAACAAGTATTTAATATGTTGGATATGTATTAACAGTCCACAACTCACACAAAGCATATGGACTTCAAAATGAAATTAATAACTTAATTGCACAGTAGCATCTCGCATTTTGAAAGAATTTAGGGAGCTTTCCAAGTGATTTAATATTTTTAGATAAGCTTTTAACAAAGCTTTACAGCTGCTGCGCCCAGTAGTGAGCATTGCAAATCCAAGGAGTGTTCCTGATTTGCCATTCACAACATGGACAGGTTACACTCAGTGGAACTGCATGCACTTGCTCCCAGGAGCCAGTGCCTGCAATTTCTTCTCATGTCAGCATGCGGTGTAAGAAATTGCTGGTTCTCTGATATTAGCAGGACAACTAGACAGATCTACGGGTTACACAAGCCTGTTTTGCAGTCTGATAAATAACTGAAAAGAGAGCAAGTGGGTAACTTAATCTGAAGTTGTTTTGGTGCCTAATGTCCCTGTAAATCTGTTTTTCCTCCCACAATGTGTTTTATTTTTAATTATGTGTAGCTTGCAATCCTATCTTACTACTGGTGAATCACTGGTTTGTGATTCTAAAAATATAAAGTTTTTTTTTATTTTTAATAAAATGTTTATTCCAAAAATACAGAATGGAAACAGCAACTATATTTCTCTAGACAATACAAAACAAAAATGTAAATACAAGATCATAAAAGCTATTTTTTTGATGCTCTTCCGCGCCCTCTTCCCTTTGGTGGCCTTCCTTTATCAGAACTTTTTGATGCAGCCGACGCACGACCTGTACAAAAAAAAAAAAACAGCAATTGTATATAAGCATAGGTAATGGTGGACAGTGATGCTAAATTTCCAGTACTGTAACACTTCAACAGAAATAATGCAAAGAAAGTATTTGGGAATTTACTTTTTTACTAATATAGTCTTGTTCTGTTTATTTGTAAATGGATTGTAGTAAGAGATTATGGAATGCCATATCATTGAAAAGCAAAATTAAGTTTTCAAAGCTAACAGACAATATTGCACGTTCTATCCTTGTTTTTAAGTACACTAGCAGGATCCAACGCTCTACATTGTATAAGTTTACAAAGCTACCCGATCTCTTTATATGAATATGAACAACATATACAATAGATGCAATATTCAGACTGGAGTATCATAATCACCACAAAAAAAAATTCCATTATCGTTGAAATTCATAAATATGACTACTTTGTCTCTGTACATTTCCTCCGCCTGACACTTCTAGACACTGGGGGTTGCTACCATTAAAGGACATTAAACACCAAGGCAACGTTAGCTTAATCAGGCTGTTTTGGTGTATAGATCATGCCCAGGCTATAACCACTCAGTTATGTGGCATTTATGAGTTACGGAGGCAACCTAAGCGAAAGAACCACTACAGCTTAAAGGGACTCTCCAGTGCGAGGAAAACATATCCGTTTAGTTGAAACCCCTTCAGTTACTTACCTGGAATGCAGCTTATGTCCCTGGCACTGGGTCAGGCTCAAGACACTGATTGATTCCTCTTACAGGAGCATTATTCAATGCTTCCTATGGATTCCAGCCACTGGAAAACCAGCGTATAGAGTGAGGATGTCCAGCATCGCTTAAAACACTTTTCGGGTTTTAAGAACCCGGAAGTCCATCTATGGCTGTCTGATATAAAACCGCAATCATTATACTTGCAGGGTTATGGGAGTTACACCCAGACCACTCCAATAAGCAGAAGTGGTGTTGGTGTCTGGAGTGTCCCTTTAATCTGGCTCCCTGCAGGCTGACAATTGTAAACATTGCCTATTCCTCAGAAAAGAGATTTCAACCCCGGAATCAAGTCTAGTGGATGTCAGCCGTTAGCAAGAAGCCCGCCCCTGAACCTTTGCAGACCGCGATTTACCGTTCCAATGCAGCATGTCTCCCTATAGAGATAAAGTGATCTAATGTATCTCTATAAGGATATGCTGACTGGTGCAGCAATACCTATACATGCACATTTTCAGGCAAAACCCACCCTTTTTCCCTTATGTGTATGTATTGGAATTGTTGAGATCACTCCTAATGATGATCTCAGTCGGTTAATAATTCAAACTAACCTGCATTTAATGAATCCCCTCAACAGCGGCAATGAAAACTAGTTATTCAGCACTTATGTAATTCTTTTCATTCCATGGAACATTCTTGACAATCTCTAAATATATACATACGGCTTTCATTTACAATTGTTTTATAATTTCATAAAATGCGCTCAAGGTCTTCCAATTGTACATTTAATGCACCTACCTCTCAAAAGAGTAACTTCTTTTAAGTTTCCTCAAATCTCTTCCTTCATCATCATCTATTGCTGCATCTTCAGCAGGCCTTGGTCTGCTTCTCTGCAGAATAAATATCAAGAAATTCTCTAAATTTTAAGGAACCAGGATTTCAAATGAGCACATTACATATAAGTTTTAGTATGTTACACTATAAAAGGAACAGATGCATACATCATCAGCAGATCAAGTGACAAAACAATATTCCTTCAAAAGTATATGAACTACTTTATATTTAACAAAGTTTAAGATTGAAATCATATATAACATTTCATCATGGAAGTACAATCACCAAGTATAAGCCTCTTTGCTACATCAAATTACTACTGAAATTGCAAACTTGATTTTTCCAGAAATCTATCCAACATGTATATCAAACCAAATATTAAAGCACGATAGAAATTAATCAGGCTTAGCTCAAAATCCACCAACCTAAAGTTACCAGTGATGTTAAGATAAGTAGAGAGTAAGTGGAACATGAAAGTAAAATTATACATTTTGATAACAAAGTGAAATATAACAAAACTAAAAGCTGTCTTTTATATAACAAAATATAAATGTTATATCCCTTAATAATACGACAAAACACTCAATTTAATTTAAAAAAAATTTAAATACCGAACTAAGGTTTACTTAAATACAAGCAGACAAATATATTTACTATATGATACTAGAATAATATGCTTTACGCTCTAATTAACAGCCAACAAGTCCAATAGACAATCAAGACAAATTATGTATTATTTTTATTTCAAAGACTTTCACACAAGTCTTGCTTCTTGTTTTGTTTTTTAAGTATTTTAACAGCATTTATTTATAGGATGTTAATAGATTACTGAAGAATGAAGAGGGTTTTGTTGTTGTTTACTGTCCCACCCACATTTCCATATGCTCTTGGCTACAATTTTGTGACTATAGAAATTGCTTGCAGAACCTTTCCACGCTGTAAAAAGTTCAGACTCCTCAGCAAATACCTTGCCCAATTATATAAATTATGGAATATAACCAGCCTCAATGAATGGTACACCTTAAGGAAAGCAGCAGTATAGATACAATGCTGATGGGGGATAGTAGGTGAGGGTGAAGCAAGTGCAATCCATTTCTCATCCAAAGAGCATAGCTTCCAGATTACCATCTAAACCCCGCTGGGCTGAACAGATTGGTTCGGGATAATTACATACAACAAGTAGGTAACCTCAGCTGCAAGCAGGTGCCCCCAGAACTTCCATATGCAAACCCATTGAATTAGGTGTAGAGCTTCGCCGCTGCATAGCCTTGATTAACGCCAGCAAAGGCTTGAAGGTTAGCATGTCAGCAGATTTGGTGATGCATTAGTCAGAAAATACACACAGACATTTCTGTTCACTTCAACCTCAAATAGACAGAAAGAGGCTCTCATTGTGCAGCTTGCAGTGATGTTATGAGCAAACCACAGAAAGACTAACAATGATTCAATATTCAGTTTTAATACAATAGAAGACAATATTTTAGATAGAGGGTAAAGTGTTCTTTGATACATTATAGCTAAAAACAAAAGCCTTGGTTTAATATATAAACATATGCCTCTCAAAAAAAGTCTAGCATTTATTCAAAAAAAATGGACCAAATTAAAACTGAACACCAGGTCAGTCAAATTGGTAAATACCCCCAACAGGAATCTCGCAATGAACAAATTGAAGAACATGTTTCATCTCGTAGTTTAATGGATAATTATTCTTCTTTAGATACAACATAAACAGGTAACGTGTTTTTAAAAAAAGAGTGTAAAAATCCATTTCACCATCCCTCATACAATAAAAGGAGCGTACACAAATACCTTAATTTTATAAAACCATTCATGTCACCATGTTTGAAAATCTATACCATAAATGTACCACAGAAAGTCCTTAAGTAAATATGCACCAATTCTCCTTAAACTGGAGAAAATTTTAAATAATGAATATGTAGTTACTTACATGCCGCAAAAGAATGTAAAAATCAACTACTTTTAATGTAAAATGAGAAAGTCTTCACCACAATAATTTCAGACAAGTGACAGGCATATTGATCTAGTATTCATCATGCAATTGTAAAAAAATCCTTTATTCTTTGAACTTTGTCTAGGACTAACAAATCACATGTAATAAATGCTGCTTTAAATGCCAAGGCTGTTACCAAACATGGATACCCAAAAAATCTCTACCCAACTGACCAAAACTCCACTGTGTGGATATTAAAGTACATTTCAGAAACCGCATAGCATTTTTAATCCATGTTTTACCAAAGAAGCTTAGGACAATCATAACCCAAAAAAGAAACTACACAAGAAAACCATTTAACAAAAGTCAACATCGTATAGTAGAACACAAATGAAAGGTATCGGTATGAAAATGCTAAATAAAACCCATTAAAAGCATTTCATTTAGGGTAATTATGTAATTTTAAATCGAAATACCTTTCTCAACACCTTATACCACTCATCGTGCCTGAGAGAAGTCCTATAGCTTCCCATCATCCTTACTGCCAAGAGCCTTCAGACCTTGTGAGCATATTCTTAATCGTGTTGATACGGTGGTTTAGGTGCACCAACTCTTTTAACCGCTTTCCAAGAACTTGCAATTTCACTGCAAAGAAGCAAAATATTGCTGAAAGTATGAAGGAAATATGCATTACTCCATGTTAGTCCCACTAATTCCTACTGCCTGAAGGCAAGATATAGTGTGTATACCAAAACCAGCAGGTTAGCATGGGAGGCAGGTGGAATGCAACCACTGAGCCTATACTACTACTGATGACCAACATGTGACCCCGTTAAAAGTATATATATATATATATAATATTTAGAGGCATTTTGTCTGTAAGTAAATAAATGAAATGCTACAACAATCTAGCCTCTATAGATTTTATGGCACATCATTAAAAGTGTGTAACTGCACTTCAAAGCGTAATACCTAAATGCCAAAATTTCTTATTTAATCAAGATCTATATGGTACCTGGGAGTCCCCTGGTACTGTTCTACCGTTTATGAATAAGGGGACCCATGGCCTACTCTTGCAATAGGAATATTAAAGAACAGGATGGGTGTAATGTCATAGACAAATGGCACGGCCTTTTTAAGATAAAGATATTTCACTTTGCAGTGACAGGCTCGCTTGTGCCACCTATTAAGATGTTTTGTATAAATACTGTAACATTATAAATGCCAGGTATTACTTTTAGTGGTCTACAAACCACAGTACAATCTTGTGCATTTACTGTAATGTAACATGTGTAAAGGCCTGAGTACACATTGGTATGCAGTAAATATGCACAATAATTGCTTACCCCATTACAAATTGCACTAATACTATACTTGCTGTGATGTATTTCTCATTACACACAGTAGAATAAAGAAACATTTTAAATATGCTGTAAATTGATTGCCAGTTGATTTACTAAGCATTATATATAAGCTTCCCTTTTTTTCCCTGTAAAACACAAAGAATCCCAAGAAAAATCTGCTCAAAGAATATGGCATGGCATGGCCCTGGTTTCTTTTTCCCAGGAAAACACTTTTCAATAAATGTAGGGATTTCTATCACCATACTAAGAGAGAAAAATATTTGAGACAAATCAGATAAAACATCAGGCAGATTTGTCACATTCAATATGCAAATTTTCAAATTGGTACAGAAGTAGCAAATATGGCTTCTCCCACGCTCTCATTTTACAGTTTAAAATGTTCAAAGAAAATAATATATATATATATATATATATATATATATATATATATATATATATATATATATATATATATATATTAGTAATATAAAATAACTTCCCCTCCCCTATCTCCCATAGAGCTGGGATAACCAACCCACAATGTTCTCACCAAATAAATGCATTCCATATTGGACAGAATTGACAATTATGCAATTCTGCATTCATGATGTGGAAGAGCAGGATGCAGGCCTGCTAGATTTGATTACGTGAGACTGTTTTGTCTAATGAGTACTGTGCATACCTTATTTTAGAATTAGTAACATAGTTGGGGTCCGCTAAGTTGTCTTCCCAGGGTAGTGTGCCACACAGCCACTGAACCATACAATAGCCCAGGATTTCTAAATCTCCCCTTCTTGAGGGACCTGTAAGTAAACGTTTAACATTACAATCCAACTACATACAAATATAAAAAAGTGCCAAATATTTGGTGTCAAATGTATAGCAATTTTACAATTTGGCTTAAAATATTTTCCATATGGCTCAGAGTACACATTTGAAAATAGGGGGATATCAATGTATTTTTGCTGGCAAAAGACTTAAAGGACCACTATAGTGTCCTTTAAGACAAAACTACATGTTTTACAGGTGTAAAAATCCTCCTATATTCCCAAATTACGATTTCAGTCTAAACTTTACAAAATTGTTTTTTTTAATTCAGAATTCATTGCCTCATTATTAAGCTTACTTGATCATTTTAAGTACTGAAAGTATTTCTAGCAGATATGAGGTTAATTAGCCAACAATTATTGCACTTCAAGTCTCCTGTTTGACTCTTCATAGCTGTTTTAAGATCCACATTTTTGTATGAGTTTATGTGCTGACAATGAATGATTTTCTGTCTGGATGGTCTGATTTCTAAGAATTTTAGGGATGTCATATTCAAGTAGAGTGCCAAGTAAATTTGCATACTGTATGTAGGAGGCCTAGCAAGTTGTTTGGACAGAAATACAAATTACTTCTTCAATAACAGCACCTCCCCCCGCATACAGTAAATCAACAGCTGAGCCAAACACTTCAGTTCGATGTTTAATAAAAAGAAAAAAAAAAAAAGAAATAAAAACTAGTTTTAAAGATGACTGAAGTTATAAAATAAGCATTTGAAAAAAATAAAAATAAAAAATAAGTATAAAATTGTTTAACCAAATATAATCAAGTGCTAGATGGAGTGATTTTTGAAAAATATACACAAAACTATTCAATGAATGCATAAGTAATTACAGAGAGTGAAACAATACAGCCACTATTTAACAGATACATGTTCTGTCTGAATAAGATTAGGCCAGAGGAAACAGAATATGTTCTTACTGACTCCCTTGTGGGCATCAATACTTGTAAACTCTATTGTGCCATTATGACATTTCCTGGGATCTTCTTTATATTCCTTGTGTACACCATCTGGGCAATATCTGTAGGCAAGGCCATAATCGACCAAGTATACCTATAAAAAAAGATGATGATCCAAGTAAGAGAATCAGCACACATATAGGCATCTGGCAAAGTCATTAAAATAAAAGGGGAAAAAAAATAATCCAACAATAGAAAGTCAGTGGCAATAACTTGAGTGTAATGATTACTACTACAAAAGCCAGGTCATCTGCTTTTCACCATGTGGTACCACAAAAAGGTTGGGCTCCCGAACCAGTGGTACCACTAAAAGTGTTTTTAATTGATTTATATCCAATACCATGCAATATCACATATCCTCTGAAGATCTTCTCACAAGTAAATTGAGCAAGAAAATACTTCATGCACAATGTAACAGCTGATGGAAACAAAATCACCTACAAAGACTCTACTCTTCTGAAATCTTAAGGGAAATAATGTGAGGACTTAACTCTACATGTAGGCAAATGCACCTATACTTATAATAGACTGTTCATATTCTTCACATTGGTAAACTTTATCCTTAAAACATAATTGTGTATGCAGAGTAATAGCTGTTAGATCCACAAGTAGGAACTACAAAATAAAAGGGAATAATGTGAAGGGACAGAAATTACCTATAGCATTGCAATATTAAAACCATATAACTATTAAAACATTCACATAAAAGAAACTGTTAGAAATTGAATCTCATTACTACATTTCTCTGCTTCTCCCGGACTTTGAGAAATTGGAGGGTGATAAAGACTCATGTTGTGGCACCTCATTGGTCTACTGCTGTCTCTTGAATCTTTCTTGATCCCGGTCTCTGTATTTGTTCTGTCTTCTATCGCTGAAAACTTCTGCCTAACGTGTTTCGTCACAGTGTGGCTTTATCAATGTCTATAATCCTGATTGCTAGTCCCTCCTTACTTAAAGGACCACTCTAGGCACCCAGACCACTTCAGCTTAATGAAGTGGTCTGGGTGCCAGGTCCAGCTAGGGTTAACCCATTTTTTTTAATAAACATAGCAGTTTCAGAGAAACTGCTTTGTTTATTAATGGGTTAAGCCTTCCCCCTAATCCTCTAGTGGCTGTCTCATTGACAGCCACTAGAGGCGCTTGCGTGCTTCTCACTGTGATTTTCACAGTGAGAGCACGCCAGCGTCCATAGGAAAGCATTGTAAATGGTTTCCTATGCGACCGGCTGAATGCGCACGCAGCTCTTGTGGAGAGAAGGAGGATCGGAGGAGGAGAGCTCCCCGCCCAGCGCTGGAAAAAGGCAAGTTTAAACCCCCTTCCAGAGCCGGTGGGAGGGGGTCCCTGAGGGTGGGGGCACCCTCAGGGCACTATAGTGCCAGGAAAACGAGTATGTTTTCCTGGCACTATAGTGGTCCTTTAACAGGAAAGATATTCCATAGGCTGCAGGGAACCAATGAGGTGCAACAACTGGAGACTACCAATTACTCAAACCAGGGGTTTGGTGAAAGCAGAGAATACGAAAAGTCCTTTGAACTGTACTCATGATACATTTACAAATGTGAGTGTCTAGATCTAATATTGATTCTTTTATGTGAAAGTTTTAATACTTCTTAATACTTTTTAACTTTGTTATGCTATCAGCTGTACTTTCTGTCCCTCTCTCCTCAATATTCCCTTGTACTTTGTAGTTCCTATTTGTGGATCCACCAGACATTACTCTGCATGCACAATTGTGTTTTAAGGATAAAGACTACGCATGTGAAAATTATGAACAGTCTATTATTAGAAGTATAGTGACATTCTTCTGTGCAGTCCTTATTTCTATTTACATTGGTAAACCTATTATGTTTAAGGCTCTCTAGCCTACAAATAGAACTGGTACCCCTAGAGGCTGACTGTACACAGTACAGTATGAGTAGGCAGTCTTCAGCACTTTAGTTTTTATGGGCTATATATCCCCTGATGATTTGCAGCATTATGGCTGTAAGAATTAATGGAGATTTAGTCCAAAACACCTAGAGTAACAAATGTCTATCCCTGAAATACAGTATAAATATTTTTGCACAGGAGCACATGACTCAAAGGCAATTCCATATACGATACCAGTACAGGCGTTTATTATCCTGACTTTGGCGCATCAATAAAGGATCTCAAGTGTACGCAATGGGCTTTCAATTCAAATGATCTAGCAAAGATCTCCTTGCAGAGTTTATCAGTCACGAAATAAAAGATTAAGCTAAAGAGATTATATATTTACTATCGGCCATGCAATACTAAGGAAAAATTCATAAAACCCAGGCAAATAGCAGTTCAGAACAAGGACATTGCAGGAAACATATGTTTAATGAAATAAAGACGCAAGTATTAACATTTAAGCAAGAAGCTGGATTACATCTCAGTGTATTGAAAGTCACAGTACATACCTGGTCAGGATTCTTATGATGGAGGATGAGATTTGAGGCCTTAATATCTGCATGTACATATTCGTGTTCATGCATATACTCCAGAATATCGATCTAGAAAACAAAAAAAATAGATTTCAAAAGACTCTTAATACATTGTGTTTTACCAACCCCAGACACCCTTTACAGGTTTTCTATGTTAAAAACACATGTATGACATGTATAGAAACTAGGCACTGAAACATTGAAGCAAATTTCACATTATAGAGAGAAAACTGTATTGTCGGACAAGTTGGAAATCAGAATTAAATTATCCTTCTAGCATACAAAAGCACATACTGGGGTACATAAGGAAAAGTCAAACAAATTAAGAGTGGGAAAGGATTGCCCCATCTGCCAGTGATATCCCACCAGTGCCCCTTTAAAATAATTTTACCTTTTCAAACCAAGGTAACCACTATATTGGACACACCACTGGTAATGAATGGATGAAATGCCCATAAATGCTCAGTGAAATTCTCAATGTGAGTGCTGTTGCATGATGTTCCTTGCACAAATATGTTAATGAAAAAATAATAGATTTTGTTTTTGAGCAGCAATGGTGGTTGTTCACACTTATCCCACATTAATACACTGCAAAATCTAAAGGCACAAAGTGAGCAACTGTAAGGAAGGGAGCACTACATAGCATCTAAAAAGCCTCAATTCGCACAAGAAAATGATTTTAGAAAGATTATTCATTAAAGGGACCTTTAAAATATGAAGAGTCTTACCAGTCTAAGACCCAGCTGCAGGACAGTTTTGTGTGTAAACCTCTTCCCTGCACCTTCAAAGATTTTTTGGAGGTCTTGTCCAAATCGATCCATGACCATAAACCTGTAACTGAAATTACATAACATACTTTAAGTATTTGAGCAATGTCTGTTCAACAATAATTTACCTCTTTCATAAAGGACCATCAAGAATCCCTTTAAGCCATTCACACAAATTTCAATGTCTATAAAATGTACCTGTTTCCATTCTTTTCATGAAGTCCAGATCCCCAATATCTAGGTATGCCAATATATTTCAGTTTATGTGAGCTAGTCCAATGCTGAACTAAGATAAAATAGAAATAATGAGCTATTACCAACTCCAAAAGTTATATACAATAAATTACACCTGCACAATAATCACTTGTGACCATTGGGAAAAAAGGTAGTACAGTTTTCTTCTCTTGTAAAAGTTTTCCTGAAAAGGACAATCAAATACCAAAATGTAAATCACTGTTTAGAAGATATAACCCAAATGAAAATTTGTATCATAAGGTATGCATTTTTGGGGTATATCTTAAAACAGCTTTCAAGACCTGCAGTTCCCTTGCCTGCTGCCACTGTAAACCATTCCCTTCTACCCAATCTCAGACATTCCAATGCAGCTCAATAAGAAGTCTTTGCAAGGCAGGTGCTCTGGGCCATAGCTGCCTTGCGAGTTTAGCTCCACTGAACTAAACCAGGAAGTAGGAGGTGTAACCAGGTTAATTTATAAAAAAAAAAAAAAGTGTCAATTTCTATTGAAATTTGTACTTTTTCCAAAATTAAAAAAAATAGGACAAATAGAGCTTTTCAGCAAGCAAAAGTGCTTTAGGAGTCCTTGGTGTCCCTTTAAGTGGCAAGACAAGAAGAATTGTTCCTATCCACACCTAGAGCATTTGAATTCTGAGACATCAAATAACATCACCACTATTTAAGAAACATTTGTATATTGCCACACAAGAACAACATTGAGATTTTCCATTAAACACACACAACACATTAAAAGATATATAAAACATGTTATCTTTGCTATAACAGTGGCATTTCAAAATAGATTTATGCCCCAAAAACTCAATGAATGTGTTCTACTTACTCAATTCAGGTTTAGCTGCTCGCATGTAGAACTTGAGTTCAGAAAAAAGAGGTCCATTATCACTTGGTTCCTATAAATTTAACTTACATTATTCTGGGTGCATTTGGTATACTAAGTATATGTAACAAAAGTAATGGTTTTCAAAAATACTAATAAGTAAAGAGCACCAAAATCAATCATTGACACTGTCTGAGCAGTCTTGCTTTTTAAAGCTCATTATCTTTTGGACCATAGATGTGAATAATGTAAACGATATAATACGGTGCCAGGAGTATCCTCACACACTGCCATGGTACGCAGTCAAACCATTTAAAGAGGCACTGTCAAGTGACCCCCCTTCCCCTCTTTTCTTACAACTCCTGTATATTAAATAATTACACCACTTGTCTTTATGTATATGAGCTTAACAAGGAAATGTTCAATAACGAAGCACCAAAAGCCCTATAGCTTGCTGTAGTTATAGTGCAAGGAGTGCCCCTAGCACTCTCCAAACTTAAAAAATTATATGGGGTCTGTTGGCTGTGGAGTTCTGCGCTCCAGTAAGCGTGCACTATGGCCTGACATGCAGTGCCAGCTGAACTCTCTCAGCTAGTGGAGCCAAGCCCTGCAGTTGGGGGTTTAGCTCAGTGTACAAGCATTCAGCAACAAAGAATGTAGCAATTGGCAGAACCAAGGTAAGTCGTCAAAATATTTGGATTTGACTTACCTTTGGAGAAAGCTAGGGCATTCCTCGCAAGATAAAGACTACAGCAGAAGTTAGTGCTTGGAATGAACATTCCTTTTATGAACTCTCCTAGTCACAGGACCATTATAGGCACCCAGACCCTTCAGGTCAATGAAGTGGTCTGGGTGCCAGGTCCCTCTAGTTTTAACCCTGCAGCTGTAAACATAGCAGTTTCAGAGAAACTGCTATGTTTACACTGAGGGTTAATCCAGCCTCTAGTGGCTGTCTCACTAACAGCCACTAGAGGTCGCTTCCGTGATTTTCACTGTGAAAACCACAGTGAGAAGACGTTGACGTCCATAGGAAAGCATTGAGTAATGCTTTCCTATGGGCGGTTTGCGCTGGCGTCGGCAGGAGGAGAGTTTCCCAGCACAGAGGTAGCCCGGCACTGGAGAAAGGTAAGTGTTTTAACCACTTCAGCCTAGCAGGAGAGGGGCCATGAGGGTGGGGACCGACCTAAGAACTACATAGTGCCAGGAAAACGCGTTTGTTTTCCTGGCACTATAGAGGTCCTTTAAATTCAGCTAAAACAAAGAACATACCTTTAATTTCTCCTTACTTAAAGGACCACTATAGTGCCAGGAAAACAAACTTGTTTTCCTGCCACTATAGGGTCTTTGGGTCCTCCCCACCCTCAGGGTCCCAATCTCGCCAGGCTGAAGGGGAGAAAGGGGTTAAACTCTTACCTTTCTCCAGTGCCGGCCTCCCTCTTCCGACGTCAGCGCTGAATGCGCATGCGCGGCAAGAGCCGTGCGTGCAGTCAATCAGTCCATAGGAAAGCCTTTCTTAATGCTTTCCTATGGACGTCAGCATCTTCTCACTGTGATTTTCACAGTGAGAAACGCGGAAGCACCTCTAGCGGCTGTCAGTCAAACAGCCACTAGAGGCTGGATTAACCCTTTTGTAAACATAGCAGTTTCTCTGAAACTGATATGTTTACAGCTGCAGGGTTAAAACTGGGAGGGACCTGGCACCCAGACCACTTCACCTATAGTGGTCCTTTAAATGTGTGTTTTCTTTTCCTGGCATAAGTCAGATTACACAGATTTATAAATGTTACTGAGTGATATATATGCAAACAAAAATATATGGGCCATGTTACTTCAGTTTTGTTAAATCACATCCTGTTCTGAAAGCTTGTAGTGACCACAATTTGTTTAACGAATAAAGGTATCACTTCTGATTATTTTCCTATCACAAAGTTACCTCTAATGCAGAAATATATACACTATTTTTAAAATACTTAAAGGAGTAACAAGGTAATGTTACCCAACTGCATTTTAAGGCAGCAACATGAGAAGAACGGAGAACAGATCATTGCAAATTGTGTCAGACAACGAATCTTACCACTTTTATTACATAAGGAGCATCAGGTCCAACCGTTCTGGAAGAATTGACATCAGCTGAGAAAAAAAATAGGTAAGAAAAAAAAAAAAATCAAGACAACTGTTTCTATACAATTAAAAAAGGGAAAATAAAACTGCGAGCTTGACAATATTTACAATTAGAGATGACCACATCCTCTTAACGTATGCGAATAAAAAGCTTTAACAGGAAACCACATGGTGTTGCGTGCAGTCAAAACAGACAATTAGAACAAATTGCAATGGCCAGCATACTTACACACATCACTAACGTGAAAAAAAAAAATGTTCCATTGCAACAAGTGTATACAGTACTGTAGATAAGCAACAAGAGGGAAAACTGCCCAATCACAGATATTCCCCCCAAAATAAACGACTGTAATAAGAGCAGAATGTCATAAGATGGAGTTTTTTTTCCCCCAAGGACAATAATTTCCAACATGCTCAACCTAGAATTAAAATAAATGGTTCAGCAATGTTTCATGACTAAATATTCCCTTCACTGTGACACAACATAGATCAGTTTAAAGGAATAATATAGGCACAACAAAAACAACTTCAGCCTAATGAAGTGGTTTTTGTGTATAGATCATGCCTCTGCAGTCTCACGGCTTAATTCCTAAAAGGAACATAGATATTCTAAGTTCTTCTAGTGCACAGTCTGTTTAAAGGATCATTATAGGGTCAGGAACACAAACATGTATTCCTGACCCTATAGTGTTAAAACCACTATCTAGCCCCCCCGAGCCCCTCATGCCAAATCCTGCTTCCACATTTCAATTTCATAAGAAAGAATTTATTTAAAGCATACTGGTAATAGGTACCCTAAAGTATGATCTAATGAAAAATCATATACACATAGTGCTAGAAGAGTGCTTTCACATTTATAGATTTCTCTAAATAAAATAATAAATAAGAATAAGTAACAGGGAAAAGTAGGAGAATTGTCCTGCAGGTAGTTCCAATGCAACTACAATGAATGAGCTGTAATATGTATTAAGTAAGCATGCCTCACTCTTTGCAAGTACATATAAGGAAAAAGTAAAATTGGTCATTCCGTTCTGACACTGATGCACTAGCAATGAAGCAGGTATAGAGTTATCTGGGAGATATCCCCTGTTTAGTGAAGTGTTCTCAAGCACGGCAAATGGCAAATAGCACAGTAGGGACAACAAAAAAGTTATCACCCAATGTACAACAGGTGAGGTTACCTGGTCATATTATGACACATAGGTTTACAACATATACTGCAGGCAGAGGCCTCTGAGTAAGAGTGGTGGCTAAAGTTCACCATCAGAGATCTAGCCTTTGGAACTAGCTGTTCAAATAAAAATGTAATTCAGTAGGTCTCTAGAAAGGATTTATGCAAGCTGCCCACCAACAACTGGGATGTTGCAGTCCAACAGTTGTAAAACCATTGCTTGAAGTGCCTTGAACAAATGCTCATATTATAAACTAAGCCCAAGCATGAAAACATCGGTTTTCTGAATTGGTCAAATTGCTTAGAGAAAGTATGTGTGTTTCAGTTTCAACCATGGAACAAACTTAAATATTTAATGCTGCTGACGGATATATAACCACCTCTAGCAACGTTTGCAGCCAGCCCAGAATACTCCAATGTCAATTATGTACATAATCCTTGCACAGGGGGTCATTCATTGGTTGAGAGTAGGGATCGACCAATTATCGGTTTTACCGATATTTGTTATTTTCGGCAATATCGGTATCGGCCAATATAGACACCGATATTGCCAATAATACATTACCAGGATCACCGGGCCCATTACAAGCCCGGTGGTCCTGGGGGGCCCGCAGCAAGCTGTTACCTTCCCAGCAGCTCACTTCAGCTCCCCTGTGTAACTCTTGCGAGTCTCGCGGCCGCATAGCGTTGCTACGGGTTCCCATGGCAACGCTCCGCATGGCACGCAGACCGCGAGAATTACACAGGGAGCTGCTGGGAAGGTAAGTAAGCGCTTGCTGGGTTCCCACTACTCAGTACATGCCACTGGACCACCAGGGAATGCCACAGCCCCCTCCCTGGCCAGGTAAAAAGCAGGGATAGGGGGACAAAAAAAAGAAAAAATATAAAAAATAAAAAATGCCTCCCCTCCTGCCCATTTTACACAAATTACATCCCTTCACAACACACACACACTGCATTCATTATATACACACACACACACTACACAAACACACCCTGCATTCATTATATATAAACTACACAAACACACACAGCTCCCCTGTAAACACACTGCATCCACTACATGTGGCATGTACATTTTGTGCATTGACCTTTAGAAATAGTTTATTTTTTTCAAATTGGTAAATGTACAGAATATCGGCAAGTTATCGGCTACCGGCCTGAAAGTTCACAGATTATCGGCTCTAAAAAAAACAATATCTGTCGATCCCTAGTTGAGAGTGCTCAGCTGCTACACTCAGCCAATAAACGAGTGGCAATATCAGCATTTGCATTCTTAAGAAGGTGGATCCACATCATCGACATTAAAGGAGAGATCAGCGCCCATTAGGACCCAGGTAAGACAAACTGTTTCAACATGCTTTGCCCCCATAACCAGGGAATGGCACAAGAGTACTCTTAGCATAACAACTATAGCAGCCTGTAGTGACCTTTAAGAAGTATTTAAAAGGTATTTTCAATAAATTATATAATGTTATGGAGTGTAACAAGTGTAAATAGTACTCCTTTAAATACACTGATCCAGGTTAAGGCTTAAATGGCATGATAGGCAGAGACATAGACCAGTGTCCTCTCTGTACCATTACATTTGCAATGATACATACCTATTATGGTGCTTAGAGTGACATTTTTCGAACTTCAAAATTCAAGTGTCACTTACATGTATAACAGTAAATCAAATGTACATTAAACAACTGACCACCAAAAAATAATCCTTACCTAGGTAAAGACAGCCAAATCCACCCTGTCCAATGGTTGACCCCAATTTCCATTGCTTTTTTGCAGAATCCGTTAGCACTTCACCAGGTGGAAATGCTTCTGCTAATTTCCTTTTAGCAGGAGCTTTTTTTCTGGCAGCAGGTGCTGCTTTTTTAGGGGGCATTTCAGTTGCTTCTGCACAAACAAATAAAATATAAACAGCTATTTACAGAAGCAAACGTACAAAAATGCAGCAACCAAAAAAAAACCAAAAAAAAAACACACTGGTAAACTGGCTTGAAAACTCTGGACATACACACTATATAAAAGATGACAGTGACTCAAGAGTCTGAGATTCCTTCACAAACTGACTTTTTTTTTTTATTTTTTTTTTACAACTATAAGTCTGCTCCTAAGAGATGTTAATGAGAATGAGTTGACTGCTTGTGTTAATTTTATGCAAGATTCCACACCACACACAAAACTGAAGATTTCACGCCCAGATGAGGCCGTAGCCATTGATTGTAGTTCTGCAGAGTGTTTACAGGAACACTCCAAACGCAATAACTCCTACAGCTCCCGGTCTGACTTAAATGTGTTATGCTCCCCCCCTGCACTACAATCCCGAAAGCTTGAAGTTTCATTGCTTCTACTGAGCTAAGCACTGCACATGTATTTTATTATTCACAATATTTGCTGTCGCTACTGGAATTACTGTGTTTTCCCAAAAAAACAACACCCTTCGCAAATCAACCCTAGCTTATTTTTGGGGGAAGCTCCTAATATTACCCCTACCTCGAAAATAAGCCCTAGTCGCTAATCTATGTTTGGGAAATATTTCCACAACATAGATACGCAAGATTCCATTCGCGCGTAAGCTAATATATGTTCGGGAAAGTTTCCCTGAACATAGAATTGCAGGATTCCATGCCCTAATGAACTGTTCTATGTTCAGTGGAATTCCCCTGAAAGTAGATTTGCTTTCTAGCACACGTTTTTCCCTGAAATAAGACCTACCCAGAAAATAAGCCATAGTGTGATTTTTTTTTAGGCAAAAAATAATATAAGACCCGGTCTTATTTTCGGGGACGGTAGAAATTCTACAATATTAGAGCATCCTTTACTTAATTTTTGTATCATTATACAGAAGACCCCCTTCATATTTCTTTCTTTGTAGACAACTTAAAATCTATCTGAAAAAGTCGCAACATCGCTGATATCAGTTTATTGCAGTTCCACATATTCTACATCAAAATCATTCTCTGGGACATCACTCCCTTGATGAAGGAGGTGGAATATCCCATACGCTGGGCCAAGGGAGTACTGGTGGTTCATCGCCAGCAGTATATGTTCCTACAGCAGACTCATACATGGCATGCCCAGAACTTTCATTCCAGCTGGAGATGGACTTATATCTACGGCAGCAAAGTGTTTTATAGCTGAATGCACAGCGTTTCTTTAAGAATATATACAAATGCCAAGAAACATGACCACATCGGAACACTGAAACAGTCAAGGTGCTTGGAATAACCCTTAAAGCATCCCACAACACTTATGTCAAGGCTAAAATTTTACATTTTGTCCCAACTGCTAGTGGAGTGAGCACCTGATCCAGCAGTTTATCCTATTGGATTACGATAACTGCTATGTAATTTAAACTACATATCTCACAATCCTCTATCAGACATGGGTTTAACTCAGACTAGAATGGGATACTCCTGATGCTGGCTTACTGCAGACGGACCCAATAAAATAGAGCTGTCAAACTGTCCCTTCAGCTGTTACACTTCAACTTCCCTAATTCTCTGCACACCTACTATACTAAAACAAACACAAAAATTGGAAGAGTTATAGTTTATGAAAATTTGGGACCCAAAGTTTGAGAATTCTGCACTAAGCAGTGCAAAGAGACACTCTTGGCAAGTAATTTTTTGTTTTTGTATATTTAGTTATATATAGAGAGAGAGAATATTAACCTAGACCAACCCTTTAATAGAGAAAGCAGACCAAAACACTGTAACACTGAAACTCCCCATCTGTGGCCTCTTCAGGTAACCCTGCTTAGCACTTCTGTGTGTATTAATCCAACATTCCTAATTCTTAATAAATACTAACTCCCAGCCAGCTGATTTCAACGTCACCTGTTTGGCAGCAATGGGAGTCACTCCAGTGGTAGCTATCCCGATGGATAGAAATCTAAAAACCCAATGACTCTAGCAATGCTTGCATTGGCTCACTATTAGCTATAGGCTAGCAGTGACGGGACTCCCTAGAATATGGCAGCCAGTGGCTGGCAGTGATAGGACTCCCCGTGACAAGTCAGTGGCCGGCAGTGATGGGACTCCCCGTGACAGCCAGTGGCCGGCAGTGATGGGACTCCCCGTGACAGGCCCGAGGCTGGCAGTGATGGGACTCCCCGTGACAGCCAGTGTTTGGCAGTGATGGGACTCCCCGTGACAGCCAGTGTTTGGCAGTGATGGGACTCCCCGTGACAGCCAGTGTTTGGCAGTGATGGGACTCCCCGTGACAGCCAGTGGCTGGCAGTGATGGGACTCCCCGTGACAGGCCCGAGGCTGACAGTGATGGGACTCCCCGTGACAGGCCCGAGGCTGACAGTGATGGGACTCCCCGTGACAGCCAGTGGCTGGCAGTGATGGGACTCCCCGTGACAGCCAGTGGCTGGCAGTGATGGGACTCCCCGTGACAGCCAGTGATGGGACTCCCCGTGACAGCCAGTGGCCGGCAGTGATGGGACTCCCCGTGACAGGCCCGAGGCTGGCAGTGATGGGACTCCCCGTGACAGCCAGTGTTTGGCAGTGATGGGACTCCCCGTGACAGCCAGTGTTTGGCAGTGATGGGACTCCCCGTGACAGCCAGTGGCCGGCAGTGATGGGACTCCCCGTGACAGCCAGTGGCCGGCAGTGATGGGACTCCCCGTGACAGCCAGTGGCCGGCAGTGATGGGACTCCCCGTGACAGCCAGTGGCCGGCAGTGATGGGACTCCCCGTGACAGCCAGTGGCCGGCAGTGATGGGACTCCCCGTGACAGGCCCGAGGCTGACAGTGATGGGACTCCCGTGACAGCCAGTGATGGGACTCCCCGTGACAGCCAGTGGCCGGCAGTGAGTGGGACTCCCCGTGACAGCCAGTGGCCGGCAGTGATGGGATCCCCGTGACAGCCAGGGCAGTGATGGGACTCCCCGTGACAGCCAGTGGCCGGCAGTGATGGGACTCCCGCGAGGCCAGTGGCCGGCAGTGATGGGACTCCCCGTGACAGGCCCGAGGCTGGCAGTGATGGGACTCCCCGTGACAGCCAGTGGCCGGCAGTGATGGGACTCCCCGTGACAGGCCCGAGGCTGGCAGTGATGGGACTCCCCGTGACAGCCAGTGGCCGGCAGTGATGGGACTCCCCGTGACAGCCAGTGGCCGGCAGTGATGGGACTCCCCGTGACAGGCCCGAGGCTGGCAGTGATGGGACTCCCCGTGACAGCCAGTGGCCGGCAGTGATGGGACTCCCCGTGACAGCCAGTGGCCGGCAGTGATGGGAGTAAAACACTCTTGGCAGAAGTTCGCGGTCTCTGTGTGAGGATGGACCCTGGTCCTGTATGTTTACCGGCATTGTGAACCGATGAGGGGGGATAGGACTGACTATTACCAGGCAGCAGCTCCTGATACAGACCCTCTCTGCGGCTTCGGCGGGAAACTCGATTCCAACACGCAGGTTCGCGCTTCCTCGGGTGGAGCTTCGCTGCGTCAGAAGCGGGAGTGCGCGCGTAGCGAGCGTGATGACGGAGCGAGGCCGCGTGACCGGTCGGCTCTGCTGCTCGTGGCGGTTGAGAGAGTCTTCCCGCCAAATGTGATGTGGTGTGGTGTGGACAGACTGAGTCACGCAGAGGGTTACCTAACAGCAATAATAATAATAATAATAATAACAACAGCCCAGACAGAGCTGTGTCCCAAGTCTTGGCATTTGTTATTAATACAAATCTTAGTAATGACAACAAATATAGCATCACACAACCCTAACCTTTTAAAATATCCCAGCACTAAAATGTGGAAAATGGCAAAGTGTTTACTATAGACAAGGATAAATATCAGATATATTATTATTATTATTAGCATTTATCTATTGGCAACAGTTAACAAAATTAGACATCCCAACATGCAAAAACTAATTTCAGGGATTTGGCTTCACTAGCTGTGTGTGCTGCTGGGGCAGTCGTATTCCCTCGCGGTTCTGACGCTCTGTGAGGACGTTAGAGCGCAGGCTGGCAAACCTGCCGCCTTTGCGCTGACTTACTGTGCGCTGGAACCGCGAGGTTAGCGCAGCTGCACCAGCAACACAATGGACCAACAGAAACTCCATTTCTAAGAGGGAGATATTTAGATTTTGTTATTCTTATACTGGTTCAAGGAGGGGAGGCTGACCAGAACCAGAGATTATGGTTCCCCCTTCACATGGCACATGTGGCACTTTTACTTAGATCCCCCCCTAGATTTCGGCACAGCTCGCGGCACCTATTCATTTGGGCTTTTGTCACTTTCGGCGCAGCAAGGGATCAGTATTCCCCTGCGGCGCTGAATTGGCTGATTGCTCAAATGAATACACCCTGCAAGTGATACAAAATTTCAATTGAGAGGCATAGTATATTATAGTAGGTGGGGGGTAAGGTTTCCTTTGGCCCCCCAGTCATGCTACTCCTCCTTTCCCCTTGTTCTCTCTCCGTCGCAGAGACATGCTGGTGAGGTAGAGCTTTGATCTACCAACTCACCCATGAAGGCACACAGCAAGGCCAGCACTTCGATAGCGCCGACCCTGCATGGGATCCCAGTGGAAATCAATCGATTTCCAGGATTTTTAATAAAATTTTAGAGCGTCAGGGAGTCGCTATTAAAATGCGGGAGACTCCTGGAACTAGAGAGTTGAGAGTTTGGCAGAGTACTTTACAATTATACAATGGGGATATTTAACAATACGTAATCTAGGATCCCATAATGGATATAAAGCTGTATAACATAGCATGTCCTCATATCAGAATAACAACAACAATAAAGCCCATCAAACAGCAGCCATCTAATAATATAAAGTATAATATAGATCTGTGTAACACTAATAATGATACAAGTAGCAAGAATTCACTTACAGCTGCATTACATATCATAGTTACACAGTAATCTCTGTTGAATAAAGACTAAAATCCATCAGATTTAACCCTTATGCTGAAGTAAGCAAAAGAAAATATTTGTAGCCATTTTCAATTGTACCACAAAAACAGAAAACATATTTTTTGACTCTCTAATGGCAATCAAATTTCTCCTTGGATCAACCACCTGTTCACATACATAGTAATTAGATTCTTAAATATTATGTTTATGCAAAAAACATCCAGGCCTTTTTTTTAAATATATCTGTAGAATCGGTTAAAGGGATACTGTAGTGCCAGGAATACAAAGCTGTATTCCTGGCAGTACCAATCCCTCTGCCTCCCCCCTCCCTCGCGCCCCCACCCCCACCCAGACCACCTCAATAAACTGAAGTGGTCTGGGTGCCTACAGTGTCCCTTTAAGACAATCTCTTTTGGAAGATAATTCCACATTTTTATTGTTCTTTATGTAAAGAACCCTTTTCTCTGCTGTAAGCGAAAACGCCTTTCTTCTGGATGACCTCTTGTCTGTTTTTCCTGCTAATGAACAGGTTAGAACATAGCGGTCTGTACTGACCCTGTTTATATTTGTATAGTGCTATCATATCCTCTCTGAGGCACATTTTTTCTAAAGAAAACAAATGCAGTTTTTCTAGGCTTCATCTTCATAATTTATGTTTTGCACCCCCTTATTAATTTTGTAACTGAACTATTTTCTTGTTCTGCAATGTCCTTCTTTAAAACCCCAAATTGCACTGCATATTCAGTATATAGTCTTACCATTCATTTATAAAGAGGCAAAAATTATATTTTGGTTATGCAATTAATACATAACAGCACCTTACTAGCCATTGCAATGGCAGACAGGCATTGCCTACTGTTGGCTAATTTGCTATCCATCATTGTTCCTGAGTCTTTATCATTTGATGTTATCCCTAACTCAACTCAATTTAATGTATAAGTGACTTGTGGGTTCCATATTCCAAGATGCATGACTTTGGATCTCATCTGCTACTTGTCTGCCAAATTCCCTAATTTATCCAAATCCTTCTGTAGGAAAGTTATATCATGTTCAGAATGGTTTGTTTCATCTGAAAACACAAACACATGACTTTGAATGCCGATTTCAAGATAATTTATAAATAGATTAAAGAGAACTGGACCCGGGATAGTGTCTGAGGCACTCCACTTACCACTTTTGTCCAATTTGAACATTTTTCCATTTACAACTATTCTCTCCACTCTTAATCCAGTGTTCTACACAGAAACTATTTTTTTTTTTTTCATATAAACCAATTGATTTCAATTTTAGGATTAACCATTTGTGTGAAACTGTATTAAATGCCTTAGGAAAATCCAAGAAGATCATATCTACTAGATCACCCTGATCTACATATCTACTAACTTCTTCATAGAACTCAATTAAGTTAGTTTGGCAAGACCTGTCTTTCATAAAATCATGTTGCTTCTTCCTAATGATATTGTTGTTCAAATAACTTACCAACAACAGATGTTAAGCACACAGGTCTGTAGATTCTATTTTGAGCTTTTGACCTCTCTTTAAATATAGGCACCAAATCTGCTTTTCTCCAATCATCTAGTAGAATTCCTCAAAGAAAAGAATCTTGAAAGATTAAAAACAGTGGTATGGATATTTCTACACTAAGCTCACTAAGTATTCATGGAGGAATACCATCACTTTATCGTAGTACTTTATCCTGTATCCTGTGTTAACCAATTACATTTTTCCTCTAAAGACATTTGTAACAGGGCTTTGCAAATCTACGGCCATAGATTCTTCTTGCCTATATACTCAAGAAAAACAATATTTAGAATTTCTGCCTTGTCCTGATCCTCCTTGATGTTACATCATAGACATTTTATAATCAATAATAAGAATATTACACACAAGTCACAGCAGCCATATAATAATATGACTCATAAAAACCTATACAGACCTGCATAGCATAAAAAATCATAGTCATATCAAAACAATAACAAAAGCATATCACGCAGCATCCATACAATAATGTAAATAAAAATCAATGCAGAGAGCTTTATAGTGCATAAAATGTCAGCAATTTTAAATAATAAATAATTAAAACCCAAAGAGAGCTTATGAAACTGTACATATAATATAAATTAATATACAGCACAACACAATGTAGCCAAACAGGAATACAGATAAGAACAATCCATATAGAGCTTTACAATGATATGAATACAAACTGTAACATAGTGCTCTGTAAAGTGACTTTGTTACCAAAAATAAACATTATTTTATCTGCATGGCAAGAGGACAACAACGTGGGCTGCAACGAGATATTCAGATTCAGCACAATGAAGAAAATATACTAAATATAAATAAAGTCAAGTGTCAAGGGTGAGAGTATAATCATTAAAGCAGCTCTTTAACCTTCAGGGGTCTTTGTATATTATGCAAAGATTGTAACCCTGATCAAAAATTAAAGAACTTAGACCTAAAGTCAGAAAGAGCATAGAGAGGAATATGTTTAAAACAGAATCTTTATTAAGCCAAATTAAAAGCATTAATGGACAAAGATTGACAGAAAGTGGCAAACTAGCATGTGTGACACAAACTACTAAAAAGCCAAATTAAATATAAAATTAATAATAGTTTGAATGGTGGACTTTCAAGCTAGAGTCAGGGTTAAAGTAACACTTAATCACCATAACAACATCATATAAATGATGTTGTTATGGTGCCAGAAGCTTCCTAGGAGCACTCTTAGCTTAAGGGGTTAAACTGTTCTCGAACGGTTTAACCCCAAAGTGCCGATCTGCAAGTTCCCTAGGCGGCACGTAGCTTCTAAATCTCAGTTTTTGGAATAGCGTATTGCCACCGGGCAGGGGTGCCAATTTGCAACTACCCACTGATAAAAAAGAAACGCACCTTAGGTAAGCAAATACCTTTTCTTTGGTTTTATTGTATTATTCTTTTGACTGATCAGCATTATAGTCATTGCTGCCACCCAGGAGTAGTGGGAGTTTGAGTGCAGGGCTTAATTTTGTATGTTTGCATTTTCCATGTGGCACAGCTATGTTATAGTGCTGCCACCCACCCCATGTGTTCCCTGTTAAATAGGTGTGTAGCGGATTTAGAAAAATGCCTCTCTCATTAGAGATTTTTACCTCATAGCTGAAGACAGCAAGGTGAATTGTGAGTGTAGGACCCACCTAAGAGGTATTGGCGTGGCTGGTGGGCTTGCACTTAAACGGCCATTGGAGTGATACAAGTTTGCTTAAAGGAGGAATGAAAAAATGAAAACCAAAAGAAAAAATAAATTACAGCACCAGTTTCTAGGTTGACTGCACTGCTTAGCTTGAATTTTATAAATAAAAACCCTTATAGAGTTGAATAGCACATCAAACAACATTCTTTTCATATAATGTATGTGTCACGTCCCCCTCGCCTCCATACAGTGTGGCTGCCTCCGATCGCTGCGGTCACACAATAAATAACTTACCTGAGGCAAGTCAGCTTGCTGTTTAGCACCCTCGTGGAGCGATCCCCGACTAGTGCGGCATTATAAGGAACGCCGGCCGCTGAGGTCCCACGAAGCATTATAGTCCTGCCTCCTTCCTCAACAAAAATGGCGCCGACATGGGTGTGATGTCATGCAAATTACGCGCAGGCAC